CAGTGGTGGGAACATTTTGTACACATTTGTGTTCTTGTGTTATATTGTTGAATGCATAACTAGAATGTGTTTTGAGACATGTTCTATTTCCTAAAAGGAAAAGTTGATTGCTCCAGGGACAGGAGATATGAAATAGTATTTTTTGAAAAGAATCAATATAATTTTTTGATAAATGTATTTGGACATGTTTTCTCGTCAGCATTGTGAAAATTAATTCACTTTAACGATCGTTATAGCTGCTTAATAAGCAACATTTAAATAGGTTGTGACGTTATTGGCCCCCACATGATCTCTCACTGGTCACCACCTGACCCTTTTTGGTCCATTAAATCATGACGAGATGTTTTTTTTATTTGTTTACACAACAATCATATAGGTGCTGCAGCGGTGGCGGTAGGCATATATTTTTGTGAGTCATCATGACTCAGGTAGTTTCAAAAAAGTGAGTCACAAGAAAGTTGAGTCAAAGCTATAAAAGTGTTTTTCTTGAGTAAAAATGCATACAAACAGTTTGCACTGCTATCTGATGCTGTGGGGAGGTGGCATGCCTCGTAAGACTCCACCTTTGGAAATCAGTACTTCCCCTGAGTGAGGCAAACACATTTGACTTGTTTGCTCTCGTGCACACAGTGCACCTCATACCAGTCACTGCTGCTGGGGCAGCATCTGGTGGCACTGTTGCTACCCATCTGAAATCCTCCACCCGAGAAACTGCCTCACTACAGGCATTTTATTGAATTTTATTTTATTTGAATTTTATTTGACGTTTTCAAAAGCTTCCCGCCACAAACATGGCAACTTCCGGGAGATACACTCACGCCACCTATAAAACTGAATAAAAATCTTGAATCCCGGGAATCTATCTTGAAAAGCTGCTTCGTTCGTTGCGTAGGAAGGAGGCTCGATTGCACTGAACGAAATGTTAGATTTCCGGAATTAGCAAAATTATAAATTTGATCAATCACATACATGTATTTTCACGTATAGGGATCAATTTAACCAAGTACCAAGCCGGGATTTGGCATGTGAAACAAACGTGCGTCAGAAAGACTCGGTAGACAATGAATATTTGCGTCAGAGTTGCAAAAATGTGAGTAAAAAACGTAAAAAATTGCGTTAGCACCACCTCTGTGCTGTGATGTCGTGATTACCAAGGAACCAATAAACCAAAACTAAATATTATGAATGACGTTACTAATCATGTGGGGGCCAATCAGATTGATCAGTTAATTTTATTATGTTATTTATGACCATTAACAGTTATCTAACATTTCCTTTATACGTTGGGCTTACTGAATACTGAAATACTGAATTTGGATGACCAAAATGTACTGAAACCAATAGACAGCATGAGATTTTTCAATGGAGAAATAATATGGGGAACACTAATCTTAGAGGAACTCAGTTTTCTTTCAAGAACTATTTGATACATCAAAATAAAGAATAGAATTAATTAGAAGAATTAGAATTAAACTTTGTAAAAATGACTGCATTTTTGGTGAAAGAGGTTAGCTCCTTTGAAAAAGTGTGTTGATGGGTTGATAATGCTTGCTAAATATTTCCAAGTCCATTTGACTTTATAATTATTGTATATAATTTTATTTGAGATAGTGAATGGATCTAAAAGATATACCAGTCTTCATTGTCAGAAAATAGTCTTAATCCAAGATATAACTTTCTCATATGACTAGCCAAGTATAGCCATCTTTACCCCATGCAAGATATAGAGGTTCTTATATGAGTACCTGTGCAAGATCAACCATTCTTGATGAGCTTTGATAATTCTTCTTTATCGAGTCGCAGACGAAAACAAACGAGAAACATTATCAAAGTGAGTCAAGAATGGACGATATTGCACAGGTACGAGTATAAGAAAGTTTTTCTCATACAATGTTTTCAGTAACGCCGTCCTTACATTACATACAGGCAAAATATATCCCTTGGACCCGGAAATGAAAATGAATTTCGTTTTTTGGACGCAGTGCAAGTCATATGCATACAATCAACTTTGGATGAATGCTTTGATAAAGATCTTACCTTCAGTCTATTTCGTCAGAATCCACTAAATAATTGAAGGAAATTCTAGTTTTCTTTCCGGAAGTTGATTTCTGTGTAAATCATTGAAAAATATTGAAAAAATCACAAAATTCAAGTTCTGGGGTACATATCGCCATTTTCGAACGAACTAGCCCATACAATGACTATATTTCTGCGTTCCCCTATATATAACCTTCATCTTGACACTATATTTGACATAGGGTTTGCGTCTCGATTTTTATATATCACTACGCCAACATAGGGACTCATTTTCAGGTAAAATCCCTGCTTCACAGATGAAAATTAACGAATAAAGTAGTTCCAGTTTACGGGACTATATTCTTGTGATTTTTTTTTCTTAAAATGGCACATTTAGAAAGTACTTGGCCTCAGCTTTACAAACATACCTCAAATGGCCACATTGCATACACTTAAACCTACTATACACACCATTGAAGTTGGCATGGCTTTGTTTTTAAAGTATTACCAGAAGTGGTATTTACCGGAGTGACACCACGAGGCATGTGATAGGACAAAAAGTTATCCAATACTCTATTTCCGAGCAGTAATCAGTACGAGTCCTATGATTGGCGGGTAGCTGAAGACCTGATTCAAACCATTTTCAATTGGTCAAGTGCGATCACGTGATCATTATCTGAGAATGCACATGCGCGAAAAACTGAACCAAAAATTTGAACCTCGCGCAGATTGCCCCTAAACTAAAGCAAAATCAATAGCAAATTGCTTCGAAATTCGCAAAGAAAATGTGTTTTTAATGGGTGAATATAAGTTATGCCTCACAAGTGATGGCATCTGTATCATTCAATGACATACTAGACTCGCTAGAAGGCTGATTTAGACCGATAAATAGCAATGAGCGATACAAAATTTGGTTAATCTAAATTTAATCAATTTAGTTCGTCCAGTGTAAAAACGTGACTTTGAATTCCCGGGAACATTTTTTCAAGGGACGCAGTTTTTTTTGAGGGGGACGCATTTTTTGAAAATCATTACGTCCTAAGGACGCAATCTTGGACAACCCTACTGAAAACACTGTCATATGACTCTGTATTATGCCATATTTTCACCTTTTTATGATAAAACAGAGTGAAAAATAGCTTCAAATTAATGGAACTTCATCTTTCAATTGTTATGATGTCATAACAATATTGAAGAAAACACCTGGTTACACTTGGCAACAAAGTCTGATTGTTATGACCAGGGTTATGACGTCACAACTTATTTTGTAGAATGAGCATGGATACTCATAGTAACGCCAACGGTGTATCAGTTGTCATGTTGATGATGTTTTTTAACCTGTGATGTCATAAGTAAATCTCATCTTGCACGTATGACTTTTTAGGATGAAAGATTATCAGTTATCACACGTTTCAGCATGTGATACAGGAAATATTCCACGAAAGGTAATACTGTATCATCCACGAAAGCGAAGCTTGAGTGGTGATACATTGTTACCCGAGTGGAATATTTCCTGTATCACATAAGCTGAAACGTGTGATGACGATTTTATCACATGTCTAGGAATTTTGAAGCATTTTGATTTGGTCAGTTATGATTGTGTTCAGTACCCCGTGTACTTCTGGTAACTATTATAATTTTTGATTTCGCTTTGAAACAATATGACGTCATACCGTTGTATTCGTACTTGTTTGTGAAATAGTATGACGTCATATTGTTTTCCTTAGCTAGAAGTGATATAATCAGTGACATCACATCGTTGCTATTGATCATCACTGGTTGCCTCTAGTAACGTGTGAGACGGCCGTGTGAGACGGGAAAACTCACACGGTAATCAACTAATCAGATTACTGGAATTTTACAGAGCATGTGATAAGGCAATATCTTGCATGGGGTAAAGATGGCTGTATCTTTGTTAGTCATATCACCATCTTTCATTCTAAAAAGTCACACGTATAGATGAGATTTACTTATGACATCACTGGTCTATAAACATCAACAGCATAGCAACAAATACACCATTGCTAAGAGTATCCATGCTCATTCTACAAAACTAAGCTGTGACATCATAACAATGGAGCTTTATTGCCATGCGTATCTATGTATTGTATACAATATTGTTATGACGTCATAACAATTTAAAGATGAAGTTCCATTAATCTGAAGCTATTTTTCACCCAGTTTTGTCATAAAACGTGAAAGTATGGCATTTACAGAGTCATATGAGAAAAACTTTCTTGTACTCGTACCTGTGCAGAATAGTCCATTCTTGACTCGCTAAATGATATTGTTTCTTTACCTTCTGTGACTCAATAAAGAAGAATTATCAAAGCTCATCAAGAATGGCCGATCTTGCACAAGTACTCATATAAGAACCTTTATATCTGAAATTGTTTGCGATAACCTATGTGAAACTTTTCCACACATAATTTGTGATGCCATAAACATGTTACCTAATCAACAATAAAACAAAACATTTAACATGTGGTTTTGTTCATTGCCTTTTCCAAGGTCTTTTGATGTACATTAATACAATAAAGATTCAGGTGAGATAGCATAATTATAAGAGTTTTATAAAAATTATTTGCTGAAGAAGATTTACTGAAATCACAAAGAAATTTTTCATTCATTTCTAACAAGTTAACTATTTAAAAGTCAACCATGAAAAATGTGAGCATTCTCACTCAAACAAGTTGTGTGATTTGGGAAAACTTAATGACTGATAATAACTTGGTATAACCTAGCCCCTCCTTTCCAAGTATGGTGGTTCATAGTCACTCTCCTTTGAATAAAACCACATTTGTCAGTTAGTCAGTAACTAATATTCAAATGAACATTTGATTTTATTAATGTAGTTAACTTTTATCATGGGATTTCAGATTGTATAATCTTGTATGTTCTCTGTGTTGTAAAGGGAGCTATTGGATCAAGACATCAGAGTTGTATTTTATGTTTTGAATTTATGTGATTCCTTGTTTTCATAGAGTCCAAGGCAGTTGTTTTACCAAGAGGATGAAGAATCAATGAAACGTGATGCCAAGCAGGACATGGAGCTCTACAAGGCTGCCTGTGAGGAAATACAACTGATGATGTTAAAAGTCAAGAAAATGAAAGACTCTGACTCTAGTGACACTGCTGTAAGTACTTTGAGCATCCTGATAACATATCATGTTTAAAGCAAAATACTGATGAATTAAAAATGGTTTTCCAACTTAATGCTTGCTATTGTCATAACTTGAGTCTGTAGAATTTACTTGAAGATAAAGGTCCATGTGCAGTATGGCAGACCCCTTGTTGAATAATCTTTTCATGCAATTAAAAGAAGATCCTCTTTTGAGCAAATAAGTTCAACATTTTGAAAAAGCTGTTGACGTGGGGTCCATATTTATAATTTTTCGAATTGTTCGATTTACATTTTTATCATCATGGGGACTTCAATTGAAAGAAAACATATTGCTTTATTTTAATAAAAACCACTATTTTATGCCCAGAAAGTACTCATGGTGAAAGAATGACCGTCTAAAATCACTTGCCATACTGCACATGGACTTTTCAACCTAATATCTTTAGAAAATGATGGCAATCAAAGAGGCTGATGATCTGATGCGCCATAAAACTTAAAAAGAAAGTATGAAATAATTAAACCTCAGAAATCCAAGAAACATGAATGACATCATAGATCATCTCACCATTACAGATAGAATTCACCTCATTTCCATTGTGATGATTGATGATGACATCACAGACTTTCAACACATATTATAGACAAAAATGAATTTCAAATGCAAGTTGGGAGTTTCAGTTAATAATTCTTAATTCTATTAGGAATTTTAACTAACATTAGTTCAGCAATCTGTGTCAGAATGATGAGTCTTAAGTCTTGAACTACCATTAAACATCACTTCAGCATAAAATGGGGTATCACTTCTTATGCCAGCATAAATTGGGACATCACTTTTTATGCCAGCATAAAATGGGATATCACTTTTTATGCTCAGCGTAAAATGGGATATCACTTTTTATGCTCAGCATAAAATGGGATATCACTTTTATGCAAGCATAAATTGGGACATCACTTTTGTTTTAAAAACCAACAAATCGGGGTATTTGTTACAGTCCATTTTTATATAATCCACTGTTCCCCATTCACGGCCCCTGGGGGTCAGGGGTCTTGCCACTCTGAAGAAGAAGCTGAAGCTGGGAAAACAGAAATTTGCGTTAATTTTGAAATGTTTTTGAAGTATAGCTTTATTATACTGAAATGAAAGGCAATTTAGAGTAGCTTGTAAATATTGTATGATTTTTCTAATTCGGGCCTCGTAAAATTCAAAATGGCCACCTAATGAGGGATTTCGCAATAATTTTCTGATCTCTTAGAAGTATGGCTATATTATATTTAAATTGAAAGAATTTTAGAGTAGATCTCAATTATGGTATTGTTTTTATCGTAACTAACAAAAGGTACTATATTGTAGTCAGCTTGGTGGGCGGGCGGCGGGCGGGCGGCGTCTCACTTTTCAGCTTGTCTACAGGTTTCCAGCCAAACCATTTGAGGAATTCATCTGAAATTTTCAGGGATGTTTCTACATATCAACGTCAAGAACTGATTAGTTTTTGGGCATTCTGGGTAAATCGTAAGGTGGCCATTTTGGATTTTCCGTCCTAAAATCTTCACTTTCAAGACTTGTCTACAGGTTTCTAGCCAAACCATTTGAGGGATTCATCTGAAATTTTCAGGGATGTTTCTACATATCAACGTCAAGAACTGATTAGTTTTTGGGCATTCTGGGTAAATCTTAAGGTGGCCATTTTGGATTTTCCGTCCTAAAATCTTCACTTTCAAGACTTGTCTACAGGTTTCCAGCCAAACCATTTGAGGGATTCATCTGAAATTTTCAGGGATGTTTCTACATATCAACGTCAAGAACTGATTAGTTTTTGGGCATTCTGGGTAAATTTTAAGGTGGCCATTTTGGATTTTCTACATATCAACGTCAAGAACTGATTAGTTTTTGGGCATTCTGGGTAAATGTTAAGGCGGCCATTTGGATTTTCCGTCCTAAAATCTTTACTTTCAAGATTTGTCTACAGGATTCCAGCCAAACCTTTTGAGGGATTCATCTGAAATTTTCAGGGATGTTTCTACATATCAACGTCAAGAACTGATTAGTTTTTGGGCATTCTGGGTAAATTTTAAGGTGGCCATTTTGGATTTTCCGTCCTAAAATCTTCAGTTTCAAGACTTGTCTACAGGTTTCCAGCCAAACCGTTCAAATGTTACACAGTGATAAGTTCTAGAGCTGATTAACTTTTCTGCGGCCATCTTGCTTTCTTGGTCAACAAGACCACAATGCTGTGTTTTAGGTACGATATTGTTCACGTCTGTGCCTTGTTCTGATTTGCGCCTCAGAAAATTCAAAATGGCTGCCTAGAGCAGGAATTCGTCATTACTTAGAGATATCTTTAAAGTATGGTTACATGACAGTACAATGATCTCAAGTATTTATTGGAGGGAAGAGAAGATGGTAAATATTACATTGTGATTGTACGATTGTACAGATTCATCATTTATATGTGTTCATTGGGATTTGCTACTCAGTGGAGTTGCCAATTTTCAGAGAGAAACCTGTAAAGTGGAACACTTCTGTAAGTGGAACACCTGCATAAGTGGAACACTTTTCAGAGTCACATGACCAACTTCCTTAATGACAAATGAATCTCTGTAAGTGAAACACCTTTTAAGTTGAACACTTTTAAGAGGTACTAAATATGTTCCTTTTACACAGGTTTTACTGTATATACATTATTAAATGCAATACAATATTAAATGAATTATACTTGTGTCAAAAAAAGGTGTAATATTTATAAACAAATATCTTTACTTTAGTGGTTGATAAGCCCATGTGGGCTGGGTTGTTATTTTATTACTTTTGTATTGTACTGTATTAAATGATGTAAACTTACACCCGCAAAATGCAATCTGATTTTCGACGCCGTTTCGGTGCCAAATTTCAGTGTCGTTTCGGCACCAAATGGACTGACTAGTCCGGGAGCAAATTTTGGTGTCGAAAGGTTTCGGTACCGGAACGGTGTCCAAACGGTGCCGGAAAGGTACCGAATTTTTTCGATGCCGAAACGGCGTCGAACTGTAAATAACAATAAAACTAAACTAAACTAAACTATACACACAAGTTGTTGTATTCCTGCTAATAGGTATTAGATGAATGTAGGATCCATGGCTCTCTCCAGTTCGCCACCCTGAAGAAACTGAATCGTTTGGCACACATGAGATGTAAAAAAGTGCGAGATAGCACACATGAGGTAACGTACTAGTTAGTAATGATCTAATCTTCCCATCATTAAAGCAGCTAGGTGCTTTAGAGTAACGCCCTAATGAAAGACTGCTGCGTGCATGAAGAAGCCCTCTTTTAAAAATAGTATAAACTTGGCCACTTATGAAAGAAGTCTAACTAGTATTGTTCTTATATCTAATTGTCTTATATCTCATCCCATATCAAAATTTAATTTCCAATCAATGGTTGAAGAGAATTCAATATAGAGCTGAATCAGAAATAAAGCATTGGAAGAATTGTAAGCAATATAATATAAAACAATTGACATAAGATTTTAAATCTTATTCTTCTGTACAGGCGAAGCAGAAGATTGACCAATACAACTTACAACTACAGAATCTTCTGTATGAAACAACTCATTTACAGAAGGAGATCACAAAATGTTTGGAATTCACGTAAGTAAATACTTAAATTTGATCACCCTTCCTCTCGATACTTCATAAATGACACACAAATGTGAGAATCATAGAAGGCACACCCAGGAACCCCTCCTCAAAGGAACCCTGTGTTCTTTTATGTTTACTTATACATACTAGTAGTCATAAAAGTACACACCGCACCCTTTTACGAGTTGTGGACCACTCAGTCAAACACCCTGAAGTACTTTACGATATGTAACATTGCTACACCCAAACAGTTTCAGTGCTACTCCTTTCTAATTCTTGTCGTGTTGTGCCTGTGTTTCTCAGGTAAACTGGATGTATAAGGAAAATGAACACTACACATTTGAGAATGTTTGCATGCTAATATTTGATTTCCATTGACCAAAAAGTGTCAGATGATTCATTAGAATACAGAATGCAACAGAAATGATAATGTCTGCTATATTGAATTATCATTGTTGTAAAAGCAATTCTTGGTGTTTCATGGGTGTAAAACAGAAGTAGAAAGCAGTAAAATCAAATTTGTTTTTCAAGATTTATCTATTTTTAGGCAGGTTTAGTTTAGATCTCTCGAATCCTTCTTTTTTAAGGTTTAATTTCAAATCAAAATGGCGAATGGCAACTAGTTACCTAGATCTCTGATTGTTCTATATATATATTGAAGATATATATTCACTCTGATTGGCCTTTTATCTCTATTCTCTCATTTGTCTATATCTCTACACTCCGATTGGTGTATCTAACTCCACACTCTGATTGGTCAATATCTTTATCTGTCTGCCTGCAGGTCTAAAGACGAGGATATTGAACTGGTTGATGTTGAAGAATTCTACAAAGAGGCACCACCTGAAATCAGCAAAATTGTAAGTCAAGTCGATAACAATTTTGTTCATATTTTGGTATGTGAATACTATAAGCATGGCACACTGTCTTATGATACTTTTGGTAGAAGGCGGTCATTTTTCAAAATGGCCACCATTTTATCCTATTTTACTATTACTCAATAAGTAGTGGAGGCACCACCTGAAATCAGCAAAATTGTAAGTCAAGTCGATAACAATTCTGTTCATATTTGGTATGTGAATACTATAAGCATGGCACAATGTCTAATGACACTTATGGTAGAAGGTGGTCATTTTGAAAATGGCTGCCATTTTTGCTATATACGTTGTTTGTGTTAGTTAGTTAGTTTGTGTTAGTTAGTCTCATTTGCAATTGACCAGTAATAACATATGATTTAATGGGGTTAAATATTAGATCCGGATTGTTGAGATAACTAGGTAGATTGTGTTTCATATTTTAGGAGAAAACAGAAGGAGATGAACATGAGCTGAGACTGGCCAGACTTGACTGGGAATTGGAGCAGAGGAAGCAGTAAGTTTTCAATAGCAATAAGTCAATTCTATATTTCAAAACAATCCTACCTACAACCTATACATCATGAACCTACATTCTAGTCAACTCAAGTTCAACTTACCAAATATTTCCAAAACTCGAGCTAATTCCCGGGGTTACCTCATTTCGTCCAGTACTTATAACATAAACCAGTCCAGTGCATAAACCTGGCTCATCTGGGTACAGAAAATTTCTGTAACTTCTAGTGGCAAGTTTCTCATGTTTAGTCACAATAAAAGGCTGTTATAAACACATTGGGGCCATTAGAAATCATTGAATACGTTGCAGTCATCTCATATTTTAATAAAAAAAAACGATGTAAAGATCGCTAAAATGAACTAACAATTTGAAATATCGAATTAAATGAATAGTTTACCTGAATATCCTCATTATTTCCACGACAGACTGTTAGATATCTATCTAAAGTTATACATTAGTATTTTAATTAAATGATAGATCGTCATTTTTTCGTGTAAAAGATGTGAGAACAAAAAAGAAACCTGCGCAGGAAAACATGCAAAAGACTTTCTGGTTTTATGTCAAAATTCCTTGGTCGAAACCAATCTCCAAGCATTTCTTTCATATCAATCATACCACAATCCTTCTCTCATGCAGATCTTTAAATTGGGAGAAAATGTGACCTACTTTTAAAAATATTAATTTTGAAGTCGGTTACATAACAATTACACAATTTTTACATAAGCATATATTTCTAATATAATAGAGAATCCTTTGAAAGACTGATATTTAGTAATCATGTAAGATACTGCCAGAAATAAGTGGAAAATTGGATCTTGAGAATTTCTCCTAACCTCTTCATTGGAAAACCTAACTGGACATTAATAAATTCAGTTTTTGAGTACATCAAAAGTCACGTTAACCATCTGATTTAGTGGTAGAATCATTTGTGGACATTATTATTTCATGTTGTCTCGTCAGGCATGAGCAATGTTGATTTAGTATTACATTCTGATTTGTTATTAGTGGTATATCACAAATTTTATGAGATCCGGTTGGACTGTAATTTTACAATCGTCAGAGAGGTGGTGAGGTACGCAAATGAATGAAATGATTTTGAGAATGGGTCGAAACGAAACATTTCCTTCATACATTTCGAATTATTTTGAATGAGTAATAAATTAGGATGATGTAGAAAGACACCATTGATAGACATTTATCCGAAGGGTGCATCGAATTACAAAATCTACCATTTTTACTGCGTTTCACAATGCCCACTTGAATTCAGTAGAAATCCGATATTTTTCTGATTTTTCGTCAAAACTTAGTCATTGCTGCATGTTTTTTGAATTTTATGAATCTTGCTCAAGCCCTTTTCACTCCTTCAGACTTCACCTTCCTGAGAGATAGATTACATCACATGAGGGGGGTCCAGAATTTTTTCCAGACTAACTGAAAAATGAATTAGAGAACTCAATAAGCTGCATGTAGATCATGATTGCGAAAATCATTAAGATTATACAGAATGCACTTGGTATTAGTGACTTCTTAAAAAACATTTTATATTATCATATTTGTTCAAACATCAGTCTAGCTCATGTATTCATCCACAAAAATATTGCTGTACATATTAAACTTTCACATGTAAATGTATGTACATTGTACATAGTACATAGCACTATGATTTGCTCCTTAGGTTAAATGTAAACAACAAAATATGTTAACTATAAGTTTAAAAGCATGTGTAAAGTAATCCTTGTTAATTTAAGGCTTGCAAAAAAGTTGAAGGATGCCTTATCAAGTAAAGAGGGGCTTTCTAAAAATATTGCTACCAAGAAGGAAAACCTGGATAGTCTCCAACCAAAACTGAATGCCATTCTCAAGGTATGTTACTGTTATGAATGTGCCAACAATCAGGGTACAATTGTTGTAACATGTTCAGATGTGTGAAAAAGTATTTAGGGCCCCCCCCCCCTACCCCTTTATATAATGAAATTGAAATATTGATTTGCCTGGAGAATTTTATATTCATTTTTATGTCACCACGAAAAAAGTGGTGACATATTTTTATAGTCTCCGTTTTTATTTGACGGCGGTTGGTGATCGGCGTCTGTAACAAATTCTTACAACTTCAATAATTTAACAAATACTGTTTAGACTGACTTCAATTTTTTTCAAAAACATCAAGTTTTCAGAAGTTCAAATCTGACTTTGTATTATAGATTTGTCCTTCAATGACCTTTTTAATGTAAAAAAAAGTCAAAAAGATCTTTTTTTAACTTGCTTCAAATAGACCAATTTTTTTTAATCATCTACAAGTTGTCAGAAGTTCAAATCTGGCTTAAGATTTGGCATTTTCAAGGTCAAAAAGGTATTTTTTCAACTTGCTTCAAATCGACCAATTTATTTTTCAAAATCATCTAAAAGTTCTCAAAAATTCAAATCTGGCTATAAATTTGACCTTTAATGACATTCTCAATTTCAAAAAGGTTTTTTTTCATCCTGCTTCAAATTGACCAATTTTTTTTCAAAATCATCTACAAGTTCTCAAAAGTTCAAATCCCGCTATAGATTTGACCTTAAATGGCATTTTCAAGGTCAAAACAGATTTGACCTTCAATGACCTTCTCAAGGTCAAAAAGGTATTTTTTCATCTTGCCTCAAATTGACCAATTATTTTTTCAAGATCACCTACAAGTTCTTTAGATTTGAGATTTCACCTTCAACGACCTTCTGCTTCAAATTGACCAATTTATTTTTTCAAAATCATCTCCAAGTTCTCAGAAATTCAAATCTTACTTAAGATTGAATTCATAATATTGTGAGCAATTAGCTGGTGAAATTTTGTCATGTTAATGCCTTGTTAATTGATTGACCATTCGCGAGTGAAAATATCTCAATGTGAAAATACCTGGATGTGATAATACCTCAATGTGTGAATACCTCAATGTAATTCTACACACTCTAACTCACTATAATATGCTCATTCAATGAATTCAGGAGACCAAGCCGATCCAAGAGGAACTTGGAATGCCATTTGATGAGGTTCGACAACAACACAAGATGGCCAGATTCTTGCCACGTCCTCTATATGTACTTTACATGCAAGCATCAGCCTATCATGAGGCTTGTGGTAAGTTTATCAGAATAACAGAGCTTACGTAGAACATACCAAAAACATCATAATACCTCTAATCAGCTCCCCCAGTAGAAAGATAACTGATTATTTCTTTCTTGTTTTATTGCAGACAAGGCTATGAGTGTTACAATCAATGGTGAAATGGAGGAGGTGAAATCACTAGAGCCTGACTATGCTGCAAAACTTCTATGTAAGAATGGATTTATTAAACATTTTGAGCTGACATACTTTTCATGATTAGTATATTATAGAGAAAATAAGAAGGATTTTGTTTAGAATGAATGAAATACATATTACTAACATCATAAAACATGTGATCATGTTGTCTCTTTTTATTTCCCTACACTCTCATTTGTGTATATCTTTATCCTTTGATTGGTCTGTATCTCTACACTCTGATTGGTCTATTCGATAACTATTTAAATATTCCATTAAACGAAGTTCAGAGGAATATAGGGAACCCCTCTGTCTGTCCAGGTGATAACTCAAATACCACTGACCCCATTTTGTTAATATTTTGTACACATATACCTTATAGTGGTAGAAGTTCTGCTCGAAAGTCAATTTTCATAATGGCTGTTCCTTTAAAAAGGCAGCCATTTTAGTGCTGATTTTACAGTAAAGGTACAAGATCTAAAACAATATGTTTAAATGTAAAAAAATCATATAGGACACTAATAAAGCTAGAAATGTAGATATTGAAAAAACACGTGGCAGCCATCTTGAAAAATGGTGGCCTTTACACGCTATTTTTTGATTTTTGCTGTAACTTGCCAAGTTGAATTGATTTTGTTCATATTTGTTATGTGAATACTTTAAGATGGTACACTGTCTGGTGAGACTTTAAGAAGAAGGCGGCCATTTTGAAAAAAACTCAAAAAGTAATAGAACGATTTTGTTCATATTTGATATGTGAATACACATAAGCATGACACACTGTCTTGTGACACTTTGGCTTGTAGGCGGCCATTTTGAAAAATGTGTGATTTTGTTCAAGGATGAGTCTGGGAATGAGTCAGGGTATCGACTTAGAAAATATTGAAAATTGTAATGTCTGAAAAACCAACTCAATCACACATATTATTAAACTTCAATATCTTATCCTTCTTCTGAGATTACAAAAATATCAATTTGTATCACAATTGATGAAGAATATTGGCATCAAAGACCGTGCATATCACTTTGTCAGAATTGAAAAAAATTCAATGGCAAATATTAAATGAATTATTTATACAAAAAGTTTTAAACATATCCTCCAAAACATTGCTTACTTTCTTTGTGTAGACATTGAATGGTATTTCAGGATAAGTGAATTGGTGTTTATCTGGGTAATCAAGGGATTATAGTCACTCAAAGTTACTGAGCATCCAGTTTAGAGACTTCAATTGTGTTGGTGAAGTTACACATATTTCAGTCAAATTCATGCTGAGCACAACATATTGGTTTCAATTTTATATTCTCTATACATGACCCTGGTGATAAAGAGTCAGAATCAGTCAAAAAACCTAAACCGGAAAACTGTGCTCATTGTGAAAACTAAAAGTGAAGCAACTTATTTCCTCCATCAAATGGCAGCCATCTTGTTTTTCCCCCTTCAAATTAAACTGGCAGAAAATTCAAAAATTTGAAAAAAAATTTAATCCTTAAATATATTTCAAAAATATGATTTTCTTTTAAATTCTTCATGGGTCTTAAGTTATTTCTTCTTTGTATGTCATATATGTTGCCATTGGTGTTTTTTTCTATGATAATGACTATTGTTTGTTTTTTAAGATACTTATTCTGACTCTCAGCAGGGGGTTAATTATGCATCAAAACTCGTGAAAAAGTAAATATACTTATCAAATATAACTAGGACAGTAATAAAAACCATATTTCACATACATTTGACTGAGGGACCAAAAGGGTATATATCTGGACACATCCTTTTATATGTGGCTACTTAGAAGCATATTATACTTTCTGCTGGCAAAAATGGTAGCCATAGCTGTTCGATGGGATTTGCTACGCTTTAGCATTGCTGTTATCTAGTTGTGTAACTGCACCCTCATGTATTCGTTACAGAAATTTATTACCAGTTAAGATTACTCGATTAAGATTTTATAAATCACTTGAACACCCTGGTTTAAAACACATTGTCACAACAGCTCCCCTTTTACACAAAAGTTTGACATCACATTGCTGATATGATGTGTTCATGTTTCAGTTGACAGTGACAGTGAACCTGAAGAACAGGAAGATGGAAAGAAAGTATCTGTAAGTTCTTTTATAGGTTGTACTTTATATTGAATTCATATATTATTTATTAAAGATATACGCATCATAGATTGTGAAAAGGAAATACACGTAACAAATTTTGGGTTCTAGAAACACAGGAGGAAGACAGCAGGAGACAAGTTAGACCTGAAGAGAAAGAAATTGCTCAGGCAACACCCCCTAACAGTTGATATATCCATAAACTGTGGAGGTAATTTCGTTTATTGATTTCTTTAATAGGATTTAATATTTAATAGGATAGGGGATTGCTTTTGACTTGGAAGAGCTATTGTTCAAGGTAAAAATGAATCTTTATTAAGGATTTGAGCCCTGGACTAAGTGCAATGTGAAATGACCATTCCCTTGAAGGTGTTACTTTCCAAATTTTGCACGAGATTAAGAGCATCAAGTGTTAGTTTTAGGAAACAACGCCTTTAAGGAATGGTCATTACACAATGCATTGAGTCTTGGGCATGAATTCTTTTCACACATTGCAAAATATTTTCTACAAAATCATCTAAAAGATACATAATCACTAAAAGAATATATTTTTAATGAAACTTTTTGCAAGGGTCAAGCTGGCAAAGTATCAATTTCAATCTGTAGAGTCCAGTCATCACCGTTTAACTAGTGACCTGGAGTTCATTATTGGTTATGTAACTGAATGCAATTACTTGAAATAACACGTTCTGATTGGCTGAAATTGGACACACCTTGCCTAGCTATGTGTGAATTACATTCTCACTTCACTTCATTTGATTGAATGACATTGGCATTCTTACATCATGTTTTTAGATTCTAACGTGCTGGAGCTGAACTTCTGTTACTTGATGCTGTTAGAGGTTGTCACTGTGAAACTGAAAGCAAACATTAATGCTACAACTTCTATATCAGGAGGGTAAGTCATCATGTTTCAAAATTAAACTCTGAAACTACAATATTGTGACTGGCATATTGCAAACAGTCAGCCCCATACCTTAGCCCCAAACTTGTTATATTATGAGGTCTGGTGTATATGCAATCACCAACTCATTTGTCTGTCTGTCCATCCAGTCACAACAGGAGAAAGTGATAAGTTAGCTATATTACAAACTATAAACTCATTGTGTTTTTTCACAAACTCTCATAATATGCAATGGTATACCATACTCTACCATTTCAGGGACCTGTTATCTGAAGACATGCTTTTGAACTGCCTATACCCTGGTGATGATGGTAAAACATCCCCTAATCCCACTAATGGTTACCCCCTCAATAAATTAGGGTAAGAAAATTAGTATTTAAAACATTTTCAGTTTTTGGTATTGAATATTAGAATAATCAAATATCAGTGTAATTTTATTTTAGGAAAGAAATAAGAATCGTACATATTATAACATAAGTGGCAGATGTACAAATGTCTCTTTATGTAATGGCCATAACCCATAAGGTTCTATTTAATTTCTATTTATTTTTCATTTTAGCATCACAAGACTGGATAATTTCTCTGGCACAATTGGCAAGCCATACATGTGGGCCCAATGGCTTTCAGGTCTTGAGTTTCTAGAGAGTGAAGATGCTGAGTTTAATGTCAACCAGCAAGCCTCAAACTCTGTCAGCTCCAGCCGAATGGAAGAAACCCTGTTAAAGATCAGACGGAGAGTCAATTCAAGAATTGCCCTCCAAAAGCAGCTTGCATCCCTTGGTAGGTCAAAATCAACATTGGCTATTAAGAGGAATTCATTTTGTAATTTCCAGTTATATGGATAATACTCCCATGTCACTCCATGCATTGTTCTGTTTGTTCTTTTGAAATGAATTAAATATTGATAAAATGAAACCAACTTAATGAACTTTTGGTTGTTTTGGTTTTTAATAAAGAGAAATAACTTGAGTAATGTTTAACAGGGATGTGTTTGAATGTTTCCAAAATACTTTACAATTCACAGTGTTATACTTTATTCCAGAGAGATGCTCAGTGAATGTATCACCAGAACATTTAGAATTGTTCCCACATAAGGTTCTCTCCAAGATTAGCAGCTGGAAGAGGACAACCTATGAAGACTTTGTTGTGAGTAACTTGTGTGAAATATCTTGCATTCCACTATTGCCTATGATCTTGAATTAGCAATTCAACATTGCCTATGATCTTGAATTAGCAACTCAGCATTGCTAATTGGAAACCAAAAATTGATTTCTTAAAATTATTTTTACCTTGATAAAAAACATATTTTGTCATTGTGCAATGTTTCCAGGGCTCACGCTAGCCGCAATTTTGCATATTTAGGCAGATTTTTCAAAGAGGACACAAAATATTAAACCCCTTGCGTTTCCTGGGATGCATTTTTTAATTCAAAATCTTAGATTGAAAAAAACACACAAAATTGAATTGTTGCATATTCCTGCTTCAAATGCAAAGTAGTTATGTGTTCACTACATGCCACTTCATGCCTGTTTACTTCATGCCTGTTTACTTCATGCCTGTTTACTTCATGCCTGTTCACTGCATGCCTGTTTACTTCATGCCTGTTTACTTCATGCCTGTTTACTTCATGCCTGTTTACTTCATGCCTGTTCACTTCATGCCTGTTTACTTCATGCCTGTTTACTTCATGCCTGTTTACTTCATGCCTGTTTACTTCATGCCTGTTCACTGCATCCCTGTTTACTTCATGCCTGTTTACTTCATGCCTGTTCACTTCATGCCTGTTTACTTCATGCCTGTTTACTTCATGCCTGTTCACTGCATGCCTGTTTACTTCATGCCTGTTTACTTCATGCCTGTTTACTTCATGCCTGTTCACTGCATCCCTGTTTACTTCATGCCTGTTTACTTCATGCCTGTTTACTTCATGCCTTGCTCATTCCACCATGACAACCACAACATGGTGAAGGCTTTCAGCACAATTACATCAAGATTTCTTTCCAGTCTGTGCCATATACAGAGGAAATGACAGAAGAGGGTCTTGTACAGGAGTCTGATATGTTCTTCACAACAGTTCTTGAGAGGGGCTCTGCAAAACTTATTGCTCAAGTTGTCATCAGTCCAGATTATCCTAACCAGCCACCTCTTTTAGCCACCCAAGTGCATTATGGGACAAAACGCACTGCATTCTCAGATGAAAGTATCAAAGTAAGTAATATCTTTCACAAGTAACACATTTGTAACCAAGTGGTTAATCTTGGCATTGAAACGGAAATATTGCTCTCATAAAACTTCAAAATCCTGTACCCTCATGTAATAAAATTCAAAATATGGTGTTTTGTATCAATAACATACTGTAATTTGTTAGATTTTTGAAGCAAGATTGAATGTAATTGTATACATTCCAGTGAATTCTTTGCCATCATTTGATCTGAAAGTCTGAAGAGAATTATGACATTTTATACAGAAGTAATATTTCTATAAATCATCCTCTGATCATAGGGCTTCAAGATCCAGAACATATTCTTTCTCTTCCCCCTACGATAAGCAGTTCGCATTTCCCCTATTAAGAACTCACAATCTGATTCGCTGTCACAACACTGCGACAGCCAATCAAATTATCTCTTACTTACTTTCTTGCTCAGGCTTGCTTTTATGTTACCGCAATTCTAACTAAAAAAACTAAATTCTTTTAAAGCTGTCTCAAAAACATTCCAATTGTGCATGATCGAGGACACATGGGTACTTAGGGGGATTCATTTCTATTTATAAAGTATATATGCTTGCTTGGATCTCATTATTTTAGCAATTACAATACACTATCGGATTTAAAAATGTTGACCTTATTTTCAGTGAGTAATTGTTTTAAGGAAAAACAAATATGATTGGTCAAAAATGATATCATTGATAACACTTGTAAATGTCATCGGCGCATAATTAGATCATGAGATTCGGTTAAATCAGGTGCTTCCAAATTGGTTATAGCAGGAGGGAAGAAGGAGGTACGGATGCTTAGGAGGATGAGCTCAAATTAAACCATGTTTTCCCCAATTGCAGGAAATAGAAGCAGAAGTTAATCTCCATTTTGAAGAGCTCACCAGCCAGAAGTCATGTGACCAACTGTTATCCAATCAGATGCAGCGGTTACTGATGTGTTTTGATGTGTATTTGGAGACAGAAGAAAACAATGCTGCTGTGTCTGGACCTAAAGAGTTTCCAAAGGAGAACATATACCAGAGGACTTGCAGGTACTCATTGCAGCAAGTTAATTGTCTGTTAATTAACTTTAAAAAGTTCTATATAGCAAGATTTATTTTGACAAAATGACCTGATGAACAGGCTTTTTATGATCCTCCAAGTGGTGATATTACTAGCCACTGTTTTATATGACTTATTTGATTGAATCTGTAAACAGTATAAATGTAATTTTTAAAACTGAAGATTCATTCTTCAAAACTGAATTTCATTAAAAAGTTTCATGTACAAGGTGTTAAGTGTTCATAACGACAGTCCCCCATTCACAGTCAATCCTAGATAACACGGCTCAACAATCTATATACCATAATAAAGATCATTCAATTGTGGACTTATGTGCCAAATATTAGCATGACTGGTCTTTGGTAACATATTTTGTAAATTTATATTTGATAGTTACTATCCCCCCAATTCGCATGATTTGTGGCTACTCTTCATGGATTTAAAAGTCCCCGATAAATCGGGCTACGTATACCGCCGTGTTTACATTAGGGGATTAGAAGAGTTTATTTTTTATTTAGGTATGCAAGCTATATCAGTATTAGGCCTTCATTCATATACTCGTGTGCAAGTAATCAGCATGCCCTTCAATATTATGTAAACCAGGCTATTCAAGTACTATATAATGTACACTATTTATGTGTGTACTACATTGGAATACAATTCCCTGGGAAACAAAACACAAATATTTTTATATGTTCAAAATGAGCCATTTGATTGATGTATTCACTAAATAGCTTCATAAATAACATCTACAAAGTATATCTAATAGTAATTTTTAATTTCAATGGTGAAACTTACTTGGTTACGATTATACGGGGAATCGACACGGCTTACCTCTGAAGCCTGTACCTGGTAATCTCTTTATATAGGTTAGCGAGAGCGGTGCGCCTTCGCAGTTTTAAACTTTGGCGCACACTTAAAGAGAGAAGCAGATAATATACTCTTGTTTTTCAAAGAGCATTAAGATATATCCTCAGCATCCATGAAATGTTATAAGTTGTACATTACTATGATAGCTATTAGCAGGGCATATGGCTAATTTTGGAAAATGTCCTTTCAGCTAAAGGTAAAATGGGTAACTTTTGTAGAGATTTGTAGAGAGTTGTGAAAACTGCTTAATCAAAGTTGTTTCAATAAGTCCATAATGGAACAAGCTTTCATATGATATATAACATATGGGGGTATGGTATTTACTATTTAGGGTTAGTGATTGATTGATGGGGGACATTATGAAACACTCTTTATCTATTGTGTACAAATGTATTTTTGAAAAAAAAGTAATTTAATGTAATTTGAGATAACTTAGACATTTGCAATTTTAATGGAACACTATAGTGATTACATAAGAGCAGATGACCTCAATTACTAGAGTAATGTTCAAGGGTGCCTTAATAAATAATGGCAGGAGTCCTACAATATATTTCATGTTTTGTTTCAGGGGCAGGAATCGTGGGAGACCTTACTTCTACAACAAACTAAGAGGCTATTTTATACAAAGACACTAAACACTATTATTGATGAGAGACACTAAACCTACTAAAGATTTAACCACTAGAATACCTACTAAACAGGGTTATAAGAAAGCCCTATTCAAACCTCCTAAAAATTGTAAAAAACAGACAAGACCTAAATGTATGTTACATGTATGTAAATATATATGTTTCTTAAAAAACAGTGGATCATTTATATTTTTGATTTAATAATTATGATGTCAACACATTAAGAAGAGGAAAACAAGTGAGGTAGTTCTTTTAAATGTTCATCAATCCAGTTAAATGTTATTGATCCAAATATATTCCACCTCTGTTGTTTGTAGTAGCTATGCTTTCCAACTCATCCCCAAGTCAACTGGTTCTCACTTATGGTTGCATGAGGAAAATTTTTATGTCACCACCAGAAGTGTTGACATACAGTATTGTTAAAGTCTCCAACTTTTTCGTTGATGGTGTTCAGCGACTGGCAGTTGTTATTTGGCATCTGTAACAAATGGCAGGTGGTGACATTTAGCATGTTAATGCTTTGTTTATTAATATTATAGTATTAATTAAATAAGTCTGAATAACTTTTTGAATGTACTTGATATTTATGTTAGTCAAAATTCATTTATTGCTGATTCTGTATCTGTTTTTCAACATTCAGTCATATAATTCATCTATTCTCTATAGGTTTTGTAAATGTGATCTATTCTAAATTACATTTAGATGACAAATACTAGATATAGTAATAGATTCACTGTTTCAGGACACGTCTAGTATTTAGATGAGAAATTGAGTCCAAACATTGATAAATGTTTGAAGTTCTTTGTTCAGGGATTATCATTCATACATGTCATTTGTTTATTTACAAACAGCACCTTTCTCAAGTAAAGGATTAAGAGAAAATGCTGACCTGGCACCTGTTCAAAACAATCTTTCTGCAAATTACCTTTAATATTTTGACAAGATTGATAATGAAAATATATATATATCTGTGATCAACATGCTCAAAAAAAGTAATGTATGTATGTAAAAGTAATGTATGTATGTCAAGATGAATTGACACTCAGAAGTCTGCGTCGTTATTAGAATAAATTGCTCTACATCTTATTGATATTATGGTGTCAACTAGGCCTACACATATATGAGTATATTTGAAGTCCCGATACGTCTTACTTTCAGAAATATCCCAAATCTAAATTAACAATGACCGTTGCCTCCACTCCAAACGCTTATTTCTGCCGCGCCAAATATTTCCCACAGGCTCCGTCTGGATATGGTGTATTAGTGAGACAGATTTAGGGAAAATACCACCAGAACGTTTCAAATTGTGATAGAAGCGTGAATTTTGGTACAGAGTTTCTTTAGAGAGTTTTAAAAAAATTGATCCGTGGCTGCAAGAAAAATTTTCACTTTTTGGTCCCAAAATTCAAGATGGCCGCCAATATATCCGACGATCTTTCCAAATGTTAATACAAATGAAAAATATAATCATGTATTGAGCTACAAGTGCTAGATTTAAGTTCAAATGAAACATTTATGTCTCTTGAACCTCAGCAATCATTTTAGATGCATTATGTGCCCACTAAGGGAAGAAAATAGGTGTAAAACAAGGATCGGCACTATTACCATTATGTTTTTTATGCGAATTAACATAAACATGTTCATATTATGCTTAGATGGTTATGTTGTAGATCAGATTCTCTCTCAATCACATATGTTCAAACATATATAAGGGTGTGAATTCAATATCAGTTGCTTAATAGAAGAAAACATAGCATGTGTCACTGGTTGTGCTCCAGATTTAACGCAATTCTTAGTTTTAAGAGAACTACTGCTACTGTTGTGATTCATTGACTTTATTCACCTTAATATGCATTCTTTCTTCAGAAAAAACTTCATTTGGAATTGAAATTATATTAATGTATCCATAAATGAATAAATGGTGTGTGCTTTTGAGTGGACTGTATGAATCTGTATGATGAGATAGCAATTACCAGACATTATTTTCTATTTTGATGATTTTATTACAATTTTGGTTGTTCAGACTTTCCTATTTAAATTAAACCAACAATGATCCAGTTGAACAACTTTTACTGTAACTCTGAGTTTGATGAAGTTTCATTAATTGAATATGTGGTGTGTCACAGAGTTCTCCAGTAAGGAGATAGGAAAAGTTGAGAAACTGTGAATTATGAATCTAAAATCTATTTTGTCAATTTAACTGCAAAATGTATATTACCAAAATATCACATTACTTAATACACATCAAGAAATATGTATACTCTAAACACTGCATCTAAAAAGTTATATTTGTTATTAAATGATTAGCCTATACCAGATGTTTTAGCACTGGTAAATTCTCTTCATCTTTAAGCATTTTTCAATACTGCTAAAAAGTCTGTGAGGCAGTGGTTTTAGTAGTTTTAATTTCTTGATTTGACCCAAGTAGTGTGAATACTTTTGTAAAGAAATGAACTATGATCATAAAATAATGACAAGTGCTTCATAAGTAAATGTGGTGATCTGTTAGGACTATATCTTGCTAAGACCATGGAGACTGCAAATAAATCTGAGAAAGACATTATCTGGAACAGATGTGTTTTATGTCAGGAAGTAAAAAATGAACCTCTAAGATGCCCAGTAAACAATCCCATACAAAGTAAAGGACATACGTATGAGGTACTGGCTACCAATCTTGAGGAGTGCCATGAATTGAACTGTTTGCCTATGAAAGTAGACTAAAGCAAGTTAAATGATGGCTCGGGACTATTTGCTTCACTGCTAAAAAATGAAGCAAAATTTCACCATAGCTGTCACAGACGATTCAGCAGTAGTGAACTTGAACGTGCTAGAAAACGTGTATCTAGCAAGAGAAAGATGAATGATGATATACTCCCAGAAACACAAAACATGTATCGTAGAAGCATGAATACAGGTTCGAGCGATGAATGAAAATGTTTATTTTGTGAACAGCAAACTGATAAACTATGTTCTGTATCTACATTTGCCCTTGAGGAAAAAATCCATGAATATGCAAACATTGAGCGAGATCCAAAGATCCTAGTCAAACTTAATACTACAGATCTAGTTGCCGCAGGAGGCAAAATATCACCTATCTTGCTTAGTAACCTTCTACAATCGTGGCAGGTCTATACTCTTTGCTAGAAATGCTGACAATAGCCAAGAGGAAAATGAAGCAGTAGCTTTGATGGCCCTTCTTGAGTATATTGATGATACACGATCAAATACAACTTCATTTCCACTGTATTTCAAACTATCGGAGCTTACCAACAAGTACAAACAGAAATACATTAAGATATCACTGGTGATGATATAATAGTGAATAGAACCAGATTAAAAGAGCGCATACTTAATTGTACACAAGGCCTCGAATCTGCAAAAGAAGGTAAAAATGTATTAATATATTTCAAACAAGATGTTGGGCCTGTATTTAAAACCTTGGCAGATCAAAATGCTGATGACAATATCAAAGTCTTATCAAGAGCTGCACGTATCATCAGAGAACAGATTCTAAGAATGACGACAGACTTTGATGGAACTTTCAAGCATGGCTGTCAAGAGAGATCTGTTCCCAACCCGCTGGTTATGTTACTCAGCATGATAATGTATGGGAAGTATTCTAACACATCACAGGCAAGTCTGACTGTTGCTCAGCTCATCAGGTTTAATACCTACAAGAAAAAAGGTAGTCATTGAGTACCGATATATCTTGGTCTCTCTATACATAGCCGCACAAGGAACAAAACATTCATAGAGACTCTATATTCTCTCGGTCTTAGTATATCTTATGATAGAGTACTCTCAATAGCTTGCAAAAACTGCCATTGAGAACTTTGAAGATGCCATGACAGTTTGTCCCTCAAACATGCTTGAGAACCTCTTTGTTACAGCTGCTGTTGACAACATAGATCACAACCCTTCATCTAGATCTGCACAAGGTGCCTTGCATGGTACAGCAATATCACTTTTCCAAAACAGAACTCATAGAAATCCTGGAACCAACAGAAATCTAGCAAGGATACTCCCTGGTACTGACACATCACAAGACGTACCAGAGTTACCAGATTTTTATACCCAAATACGTCCAGCAGTGTTGCCAAAGGAGATACCCTTGTTGCCAGCTTTGCCTCCTCATACTGTTAGTTTGAATGGTACTAGAGAATTCTTACAACCTGCAAAGCTAGAGGAAATAGAGTAAGAAACATAAATTCATTGATGACATCATTATTAAAATTATTCAATAAAGCTATATTAAAAATAAGGTATTCTCATAATAATGCCAACATTAGCGTAATTTATTTATGTATTACATACCTAGCGAAGCATTTGTATGGAAGTCAATGGGAAAGTTAGCGAGCTATATCCACCGATATTGCCCGATTACCCCGATATAGCCCGCTTACCTCGTTTTGATATTAGATTTCTTTAATAACCATGATAATATCATGACGTCACGTCATTGATACAAAGTAACCATGGGAACAAAGGCATGTAATACATCAGTTATGTCACTATGACGTGAAATATGCCTTCGTTCTTGCCCAAATATAGAGCCTCCCAAGGTCGGCCTATATTGGGAGAACTCAGGCATATTTCACGTCATAGTGACATAACCTCTAAATATACATGTAGACATATAGTTATGGTGATGCTGAGTTAACTAGGTAGTTGTCTTTGTTTTCAGGTACACTAGTGTTCAACATGTGACTTGTTCTTGTTACACAGGGAGATATGCCGAGTACTAAAATAGTACTCATGGCATTTTAGCGCTTATTGAGTACTCATTACAGTAAATATTAGTATTAAATGAGCACTCATGACATGAGTACTGATTTATTGCATGTTGTACTCATATGACGAGTGATAAAATAGCAGTAATTTCATTGATTTTTAGCACTAAATTAGTACTCATATCATGAGTGATAAAATAGTACTAATAAAATTGATTTTTCAGCACTAAATGAGTACTCATATCATGAATTAGTACTAAATTAGAACTCACGGTATGAGTGCTCATGAGGGCGCTTTTGCCAGAGTGCTAATTTAGTACTAATTTTGTACTATTTTAGTACTCTAGCATATCTTCCTGTGTATGATAAAATGATATTCAAAACCATATAATTTATAATTGGGATGTGGGATGTTTATCCAGAGATTACAAATGGACCAAGTGCCCTAATGTATCCTGACGTCATAAGAAACATTCCATTGGAAGCATTTGATAGCCTTGAAAAGTTCATAGTTCTATTATATGACCGTACAAGTGAACAGGTAGACATCAATAAGGCCAGAAAAGAATTGTTTTGCAACAAAGGAAAGATGATAGATAAAATCCCCCCAACTAGAGCTGCTCTTAGACAGCATATTCTTAGGGTGGGCTTCCAGGGTGGCATTGTGTTGGGCCAGTATTTAAATCCTAGACCAGATCACCTTCAGTCCTATCTTCAATGGGGTTGGAAAATTAGCCATACTGTTGTAGTGCCAAAGTGGACAGACCTTCCTCAGGCATCTAAGGCATGTCAGGTCCTTGTAAATTGTGGATGCTTAAAAGGATGTGGAGCCAGATGCTCATGCCACAAAAGTGGACATTTATGCACCTAACTTTGCAAGAGTTATGGAAATTGTCATAATATGGAAGGATAAACGTTAACATTTAACTATGTTAATTCATATGAGAAAGTGTGGACCTGTCTTCAGAGTGACAACAGTTATCTGTGACCTTTAAAAGAACGTTACAGCAGCAATATTTGACATTTTAGATCTATATTTTGAGCATTAGTGACGGGATGATAAAATAAGTGAGGGATCAAATATAGATCCTTGTTAAACACCATTATTTATTATGAAATAGTCATATAATAAGGTAAAGTGTACCTCAAAAGCTATTTAAGGTCTTAAGTCAATGTTTCTACTGACACATAACTCTTATTTAGCTGAATACATTCAACATTTTCTATTCTTGTAAAATTCTTGACGATAATGACATGCTATGGTGGCCATCTTGAATTTTATCTGAAATTTTGAAAATTTCGCTTGCGGCCACGGATCAATTTTTTTTAAATTGGATAAGGAAGTTATATACCAAAATTCACGCTTCTATCACAATCTGAAACGTTTTGTCATAAATCTGACTCACTATATTGGCTGCCATCTATTTTAGCAAGGGAATTAACATTGATATGCAATTGATTTCATCATGCATATGTAATGAATATATGCAGGGTGAAATCAATTGCATCCCCATAATAAGTCAATGTTACCCTTGCTTTTCTCAGAAGAACTCAAGTTGATCGAGTCTCAACAAGTAGATCCATGAAGGTGAGTATTGCTAGAATTCGTTTTCTAAAAGTTAGAATAGGGGTTCTTACACAGGAAGGCCCTTGTGAAATTTTTGTTTGGTACTAATTTGCCATCAATGAGGTCACAAAGAAAATTCATTGTATTAATGTTTACAGATACATGTATGACATTTACAGTACAATACATATGTCCGTGCGTCTCCTAGTAGAGTTATTGCATTAAGGAGGATGTAGAAGGGATAGAGTAGAGAGAACTCAAGAGTAAGTTTTGAAGTAATTTTCATGATTAATTTTAAATATTTTTATCTGATAGTTAGCTTCAGAAACGTCCAACAGTTCTGACCTTATTTCATGATCCTTGTTTTTAAGGTTTTCGAGCAAAACAGTGAAAAGTGAAAATAACTTTTTCAATTCTTCCCATGTTACAGTATTTTACACTCTCTGTCCATTCTGCTATCTCTAAAATGATACAATGTAAATGTGAATACGTTATTGTTGATACTTGATAATCAATAAACGTTGAGACAAGGATACAAAGATCGAAGTTGGTCTTGGTGTAATGGGGATGTCAAATAATTGAAGAATCGCCCGGTGATAGTAGTCGATGAGAGATTGAACCAATATGGTCTTCATATGTGCTGAGAAAGAAGAATGATTCCCTGATGCCTAAATTGGTCATTTTGAGTACAGTGCTGCATGTGAATGTTCATATGTTTTGCTGCTTGAATCGGATTTTAGAAAGAGAGCTAGTTTTGAGTAAATCAATATTGTTTTATAACACATTGGGGGAGGGTAAATCGCAGTTTTACACGGTGGTATCATCTCTGTCTCATCTCTGTCAGAATAAGGCAATATTTCGGGACACACACAAAGTCGAGAATCAATAAGAGGTGCACTCCAAATATATGCCATTCATTTACCTCTTCAAGTTTTCTCTTTCCTCTGTTCCTACATTTTCTGATGACTGCACTCTTAGTCTTTTCCTTACATTACGTAATCGCGATCTGTCTTTCACTATTCCCGTGTATTCCGCCAATGCATTTCTCCGAACAGTCTATTGTTCAGCCCATGTTATTAATTCAATGATCATAAATACCTACTACCTATATATAGTATACGTATACTTTACACATTTATATCGCGATTCCTTAGTCGTCGTCATTGGATCAATATTGGTATTATTTGCAATACGTTATGATTTATTTTGAACACTGTGTCTCGTTCTCATTTCGAAAAGTGGTAACTACTAGAACATTCAAGGTATGTGTATGACAAGTGTATCTTCTGAAGATAACCAGCAGGATTCATGGAAACTTGTATCAACAGTTGACATCTACAATGACTCGCCTGGAAGAATAGTGGTGGCAACTTCACACCGGAACATGAGCGTAGAGAGACATTTTTATGAGTAGAGTCCATTTCACTACTTCATTTCGTCAGTAGAACGGCAAAAATATGAAATTGGGAGACCATTGTGCAATAATATATGGAAAAGTATATTCATAATGTACATGAATGACATTTGTATATCTTGGATTGCTTCTAGTTTGGCTTATAAAGTGTGTGGCCTCTTATATTTGGATGTTTCTCTGCCATGTTATTTTCAATAAGATTAACATGGCTGAAATTCTTCAAATTACAAGACGGCACAGGCTTATAAATTGCACAAAAAAATAAAAAATCTGAAATATACAAATGTCATTCATGTACATTATGAATATACTTTTCCATATATTATTGCACAATGGTCTCCCAATTTCTTATTATTGCCGTTCTACTGACGAAATGAAGCAGTGAAATGGACTCTAGTACGCCACCACAAATTTAGTGCTCTATAAACGTGCAGTTGATGAACATCGAATTGAATACGAACCTATACACAATCCACACTGAACGATAACTGGAGTTGGTATCATTTGTAATGGTGGAATAAAATCAATATATCGATAAACATTATGATTTAATTACCAAAATAGAATCTGGATTCGTCATGCAAACTAATCGGAACTTTATTTGTTCAAATAAAAAAATAGTTTGAATCCACACTCTACTTGATTTCATTGAAATTGAAGGTTAATTGGTATCAAACGAAGTCTACCATCTTGAATGATCCTAACTTCATTACGTATTTTTATTATTTTTTCAGTACGTATTATTCTCCTGAAGACAGTGATGACGTAATATGTTGTTTTGATAAGCATTTGTGGAGGGTAAATGCGAGATAAGACATGATGCAGAAGGTGGAATCCTTAATGAAACTTGCCAGCATCCGGACCTTAGCATTCGGAAGAGCCCAGAGAACGATCTCTCGCTATATTTGCGCTACGAATGAGGGGACCAGTGGAACATTGTCAGATTTAGGCTCCAGAAAAAAGACATTTCTACAAAAGCAGGTACAGTAGATAATATGTTATAAAGACGCATGTCAAAAATCATATTTTTGAAAATATTGCTTGGCCAACCCATGTTATTTTCTGGTTTAAAATGAATCATAAAAGCGTAAGAGTGCGTTACGTTTTATAAATATATACATTTTATAAAATTTTGAAACGGGTCCCTATTCATAATTTTCCGAATTGTTTGATTTATATTTTTCATTTTTATCATCATGGGGACTTCACTCGCAAGAAAACATATTGTTTTAATAAAAATCAATGTATTTTTGGCCAGAAAATACTCTAAGGAAACGATATGACTGTCTAAAATCACTTGCAATAGCCTACGTCACTCTAGCTTTGAATGTTTTCTTTGTAATATCAAAATTTCTTGGAATCGACATTGACTAATTGTATAAATACTGTTTATATTAAAAGTAGAGAAGAGGACTTTCTTGAAACAGGGTGTGCAAACGTGTAGAGTATTTTGGTGGAGTACACAGAAAATACATACAAAAGTTCGGTAGGTGTAGTGATTTTGTCATTTGTGAACACATTTTGAATACGTCCTCATCGTTCCTGAATAGGCTCATCACATTCCCAAACATCGGGGAGACATTCAGTTGTCACAAATTGACACCCAAAGCAAGATAGTTGTTCAATAATGCGGGGCTAACCATGGAATTTTTGTTCAAAATCAAAATATTTCTTTGGTTAACTCCCACATTTCTGGAAACCTAGATAGACGGCTGTCAATAATAATAATGGAATACTTCCCCAAAGTACGCAATGAGCGTATTGGCAGGTGAGGAAATACTATGAAACGTTCACAGACTTCCAAATAACGACACCTACCTGCTTCAAGTTTCGAACGAAAATACTCAACGTTACGCGAGTTTCCACCCCCTGAAAAATGTGAAGTTGTCTCCGTACGTTATCTTGAGTCAGAAATACGTGACACCGTCTAGAATATCAAGTTCAGACGCATGTGACCTCGAAATATAACATTGAACGTGCATCTATTATCATAGCTCTGAGAAACTCACAAAGTTCTAATTGTGATGATTAACATAAAATGTTCAGCACTGGAATATAGGTAAACACATGTGAAACCCATTGTTAAGATCGTTTTTGTGACTGATATTTAAATCCATTGATAAACCGTCTGCGTTTTATCTTCACTATTTCGCCCTTCAAAACTCAATCGTGTCAATAGTCTAAAGGCAGGTGCAACTTGACAGTCATCGAATATAGCTAAAGATAGGTTTTGAGATTAGAACTTGGCTTTTGGTCTTTCTATATATACACAAACCAAAGGTTAGTACAGTTTGACCAAGTCTGTTATAACGATTATCTATAAGTGTTTTAAGTGTTTAATGTTCAATCAGAAACAAACTTCAAGAACTTCACTGTCTATTCACTTTGCCGCAAGGTGCAACAGGTCAACAAATATGTTTTAAAACTAAGTGCAGTAAAATGCAAAATATGAAGTGAATTTGATATTGATATATATTTTATCCATTACTCTAATAATTTATTATAAACAATTATGGTAAAAATGAGGTATTTCTGACCTTAAAATGCCTTTTCAATTCAAGTCAGTGTTGCTCCTTGACCATGTTGATGAGCTGAAATATGATTATTTAACCCAATACCAGATTTAAGCATTCATATTTAATTAATTTTTGAGATATTTTATTTTCAAATCCATTGATTAAACATGCAAATGTTATATTCCATCAGAAATCACCTTCGGCGTCTCGGTATAAAACTGAAAAATTGTGAAATTCTAGCAAAATATCAAAAGAGATCACTTTTGACAATAGTGAGAGAAAATATGAGGTGATAGGCTTTATAGTGGTAAAACAATCACGGCCGAATTCGGATATGACCCGCTTTCAATTTTTAATCATTCCGGAAAGGACGATTCTCGGTTTGGAGAACGAAGTTCATCAATATAAACGAGCATTATCCCTGCTTCGGACAAATTTGATTTTTTTTACATAATATAGAGTTTAAGGTCTTCTTTTGCATGGTCATAATTTAATTTGGGTAATATTTCTAGATTTTTCGCAAAAAAATATTAGCGCAGTACACTTATGAACTTTTTTCCCCAAATCGAGACTTGTATTTTATTGAATCGGTCTAATTGATCGTTATCCCTGCTTCAGACCAATTTGTTATTTTTACATCTTGTAGATTTAAATGTCCTCTTTTGAATATTCATAGTTTAATTTGGGTAATATTTCTATATTTTTCATGAAAAAAATTATTAGCCCAGGAGACTGTTCTCCAAACCGAGAATCGTCCTTTCAGATTTCTAAGGTCATATTTGATATAGTATCTCCAAGCCAAAATGCCACAATTTATGATAAGCGAAACCAGAAATATCGAAGTTACTTAAGAAACACATGTCATAACACTCTTACCACATTTTACAAACACTCCTACCACATTTTTAGAGAGGGAGTTCCAAGAAAATAACCTAGTCTACATTGTTTGTATGTATTGCAGAGACTATTCGAAACTAACGCTATTGAGGTAGTAATGGACTGCCATCTTTCAATCAATATAAACAATATTTTCATCGAACTGACATGAAAATGGTAATTATATCCTCATGTAGTCTTGCTCCAGATCTTTGCGCATTTCGAAATGGGGAGCGTCAGAAATTTGATGCAAGACTAGTGTAATGTATACACTGTATGTCATTTTGTCAAACTATTTTAGGTTGACCAACAGGCGCGCAAACAGCATAAAGATGCCACCATGAACGAAGCATGTCGACGCAATCCGTTGACCACAGTCACTCACAAACAATTGGTCTTGAATTCTGATCATCTAATAATGCCAACAATAACTGGAACGCTCGACGATCTCAACGATCCTCATGGCCAGTCTGGAATTGTGTTAAATTATGTCTGGCTTAGGGACCATTGTAGATGTGACTCGTGTTATCATCACACAACCTCACAGAGACTATTCGAAACTAACGCTATTGATCTTGATATTCGGCCCAATAATGCAGCTTTGACCTTCGATCCGGATGTTAACGATCATGTGTTGCATATCACATGGCCAGATGGCCACCAATCACAGTTCACATATTCATGGTTGACGGATTCTAAAAATATATTCGCTGGCAAGTATCCTAAGTCAAAGTCGGTGCAGACGCTTTGGGACGCTAACACTATAAAAGAAATCGATATCAAAGCTGTTGAATATGAAAAATATATGGACAAATCAAATGATGAAAGCCTGAAAGTGCTACTGGAGAATGTACTCCGATATGGCTATGGTTTGGTTCACGGATGTCAGACATCGATTGATGACACTGCCAAAACTGCCGAAAGACTCTGCATCATACAGAACTCCTTATTTGGTCATATGTGGAGTTTCACGAACGATCTGGAACACAGCGACACGGCATACACTAATTTGGCCTTAGGTGCCCATAACGACACGTGTTATTTTTTGAAAGGTGCGGGAATTCAAGTATTCCACCTCTTAGAACACACCGGTGCTGGGGGTGAAACGTTACTGGTTGATGGGTTCAAAGCACTGGAAACACTCAGGCGTAACCATAAATGGGCATATGATTTCCTCGTAGAGACATCTATTGTTCATGAATATGTCGAACCTGGGATCGACATCAAAAGCCTTGATAGCATCATAAACGTACATCCAATTACAAAGGAACCGATAGCTTTGCGGTTTAACACGTACGATCGTGCAAGTTTGAACACCATTGATCAAGAGGATATGCCAAAGTTCTATGAAGCGAACAAGTTACTCGCGAATGAAATTCAGAACCCCCAGAATGAGTTCTGGTTGAAACTAAAGCCTGGGACCGTACTATTCGTGGACAATTGGCGATTATTACACGGGAGGTCCGCATTTACCGGCAGACGCTGCGTATGTGGATGCTATTTGGCAAGGGATGATTGGACAAGTAAAGCAAGAGAGTTGGGACTGGTGTCATCGTTCCATTTTTAAATCTGACTTTAAAATGTTGTACGCATCTTTCAATGATTTTGCTCCCAGTTTTATACCCAAGCATTGGTAGCTTATTGTTTTATGTTTGAATTTCTAGATAAAAGCAAAATAATACTGTATAATTGAGAAGATAATTCATTTCTTTTCAACAGTTTCAAAGTTGATGAAAATTACTAGAGACTGGGCCCTTTTAACATAATAGTTGCCACAATACGCATATTTTCATACATAATGTACATCAATTCATATCATGGACTGATGCTATATATTAAGATTATACAGTGATTGTCATGTCCATAGTTATGGTTGTCTAGGTGATATTGGTCTCAAAGGGGAAATGGCTCCGACTATAGGTGTGATGGTGTGATGTACCACTGTGGTCTGTCGTTGTGACTCATCGTCTGATAGCACCTGAAATATTAACAAATTATTTCAAAATAACTTAGTTACAGTTACCAAGGTATTGTGCTTTTTACTGATTGTCACCTGTGTACCAAACGCTATTATTGCCACTTACGTCACTCTCATCCATGTATAGTTGTATAATATTGGTGAGTGAAATACCAATTATATACTGACGAGATGTATCGTCGTGTATTTCATACTTGAGTGGGTTTGGGGTAGATATCACCCGGGAATATATATCATATCTGAGGAGCGGGCAGGATATATTGTATATGTCTCGCTCTAGGCCAAATGCGGGCAGATATAATATATCCATCCCGCTTCCGGGAATTTTTTCAAAAGTTTAAAAATTTAAATTTCAGAAGTTTAAAATTTTTCAAAAAGTTTAAATGTTACAATTCTATTGTATTGAACTGAAGGAATATTATGAAAATGTTAAATATAAATTGTGCTTTTACAGTATAGGCCTATCTTGTCATTTGAAAAAGGTGGTAAAGGTTATATCTACCCCAAACCCACTCAAGTATGAGATACACCAGTTATGTACGGTCGGTTTTGGATACAGTGTTTATCCCGCGGGAAATATGTGTATCTCCCTCCGTCCCTGCGGTCCCTCGTGAGATACACATATTTCCCTTGGGATAAACCCTGTATCCAAAACCTCCCAGTACATCAGTAACCCTTATATATTTCACCATTATAGTATTGTATATCAATCTTGTATACAGTCCCATCTTCGGAATTCTACGAGTATAAACGTGATTTGTTACTCCATCCTTTACGAAGAGATCGTATTTCTGGTAGTTATACACTTAGTCTGGATTGCTAAGTGTAACCTCCGCATTTTTGCCCATTTTATACACAATTCCATTTGCGAGACTGGACAATTTACATGTTGTCTACAAATTTTAGGGTGAGGATTTCCTCGATTTTTCTACTCGATATTTCGATAATTAGTGAACACATTTGCACCATTCTTTCGTCTTACCATTATACTATCCTGCTCTTGTACAACCAGAGGGGAGATGGCTCTCGGGTTGTTTCTGTTTCGAACTGGAATACTCCAGGGGGAGTTAGCCTCGTTTGATGACGTCATTTCCGTTCTAATAAGCTGCACCTGTTTTGAGGCAGAACTGCCAGTGCCTCCAGTAACGTCGAACATGATGGATTCTAGTTCATTGTCGCTGTTCTCGATTGTCTTTTAAGAGAAACAATAAAAGAGCATTATAAATGTGTGTCTTACTACATCGGCCTAATCAAAGTTTATTCTATCGATAGCATTTTACATCTAATAAATGGCTATACATTAGCAAGCATTTCCGAATTCAACTATCAACTGACGGCTAACGGTGTGATTAATATTTTATGGCCAACTCATTATATGCACCTGCTGTGTATCTTGATAGCTACCAGCGTCTAAGCCGATCGCTGCCCCGCATGACGGTTTAATTCATTCAGAAAGGGGTTTGATCGTTATTTAGATTTATGCATATTGTGATTAAGTAACCGTGCACGGAATGCATAATTTTATAGGGAGGTTACATCCTTCATTGAAAGGACTTCATTTATTATTCAATTCTCTCTATTTACTCTATGGAAAGAAGTGAACTACTCTTGGACCAAGGGTGGGGGCGTTAAGTTTGACGTATTTAGGAGAACCTGTAGGTGAGCGTGTAATATTTCGACCCCAGGGATTATTGTTTGACGGTTTCACGCCTAACCATCGAAACGCACAGTGACACAACACGCCGTCGTACACTAGATAACTATTAACCGATTTGAAGCAAAGACAATGGTGTAGATTTGATGTAGGTTTTAAAAAAGTATCTGAGGAATACATCAAGGATTTGAAGATTAATTTTGTGTGTATTCGTCTAGGAAGACATTTAACTTTCTAGCAACGTTAAAATATTTTCAAACAGTGCTCGAACAGTGCCCAGACTTGTCCCTTCATGTCCCATGAAAATAATTTACTCAATATCTCCCTTGATGTCCCATCGTGTCCAATTGTTGTATGATGGCTAGCTTTAGTGTTATGAAAAATACGTTGCCTGCATTAGGGTTAGAGTAAGAGTAGTTAGAGTAAGTTCAATGGGACAACGCACATTCGAGTTGACAACGTACATTTATGATTTTTCAAATTATAGCCAAAACGTTAATACTTATTAGATCTTCAACATACCTTAATTGTGTAGTTTAAAGAAACATATTCTCAAAAAAATATTCGTCACTTTTAGACGACAGGGGAGGAAATGTGTAAAAAAACATTTTCCAACCGGCCAATTATCGAGCACTGTTCGAAAATCTTTTAACGTTATTCAAAAGTTAAATGTCTTCCCAAACGAATACACACAAAATCAAACATGAAATCCTTAATGTATTACTCAGATTATTTTTTAAAACCTACATCGAACCTACAGCATTGTCCTTGCTTCAAATTGGTTAAATAGTGAAACCGTACATCTAACGTGTACGATAGGTATATTTTGTCACTGTACGTTGTCGATGGTTAGGCGTGGGTTTGATTGATAATTTATGGCCAACTCATATGTACTGCTGTGCATCTAGATTCTAGATAGCCACTAGAGCATCTAACCCGACCGCTGCCCTAGATGACGGTATAATCTCTACAAGTTGAATGATCTATTATTCATTATGTTAGTTAACTAGCAGTTTGACGTTAATTAAACTTTAATTGATGCAGATAATTATGCAACCGTTAGCCGACAGTTGATTCAAACGAATGATACCTTAGTCGCGATAAGACCGATAAACGGCAGATAAGAGTGGGTTTGGTAAACCAGAATATACTCTTTTAGACGTGGGTTTGATTGATATTTTATGGCCAACTCATACTATTTTAGACACGCATTTTAAAGGGAGAATCAGATCGAGTGAGCAAGCTAAAGCTAAACAAAAATTGTCTCAATTTTAGAATATTTTTGACAAATAACATTCGTAAACATGTCTATTTTCTAAAACCCCAAAAGTGCATGCTTTATTTCAGGAAAACTAAAGATTGTTACTGTAATCTTTTATTTTTCTACAGTTATGGTTGCCATTTTTATTATTTGGAACAGTTTACCCCAATTTTTTCACTTTGAATCCTTACTTCACCTATTTATAACATATTGCGAATCTTTTGTGTGATATTGTATGTATAAAGATCGTTAAGAATTGATCGATTGGTCAATTGTACACGTTGTTTGCATTTTTCTCTTTGGTTCTGATTCTGCCTTTAATATCTGCTATTTACTTCAACGAACTTAACGGAGGGAGACCATATGGATACCGTACGGTAACGGACGAGAAAAGCTTAAAAATCAACCATGTCGGACCAGCGTGAGATAACACTAAATTGACCATGTAAAATCTTCGAACTCGGTGCACTGATTACATAGTACATATCCATGATAGAATGTGTAATGTTAGAAAGATTCATACTTAATTTAAATGAAATGAAAAATGGCACTTTCCAAATAAATCAATTGTTATAACAGGTGCATGATTGTTATGATTGTTGCATGGTTGTTATGATGCATGATTTTTTTACATGTGCATGGTCGTTATGATTGTTGCATGATTCAATAGTGATTGTTGCATTGCATGATTATTATGTGCATGATTGATATGTGCATGATTGTTATTACATGTGCATGATTGTTATGATTGTTGCATGGTTGTCATGTGCATGATTGTTATTACATGTGCATGATTGTTATGATTGTTGCATGATTGTTATTATATGTGCTTGATTGTTATGATTGTTGCGTAATTCAATAGTGAGTGTTGCATTGCATGATTGTTATGTGCATGATTGTTATTACAGGTGCATGATTGTTATTACATGTGCATGAATTGATTGTTATGATCGTTGCATGATTGTTATGTGCATGCCTGTTATTACATGTGCATGAACCTAACTATATCGTATCACCATTCATTCCCCAAATAAAGTCGTATATTTGCAGTCGAATCATGTAATGATCTGGAGACTGCAATTCTTTGAAATGAGAAAAATGGTGAGGTAATACCAGCAAGTGCATAGACATACACATTGCCATCTCTCATCACAAATTAAATCACCATTCTTTTGATCAAAGTTTTGAACGATGGTTATAAAGCACACGTTTTTGCATCGGATACAGATGACTATTTGTAAGAGATTGTGTTGCTCCACATATTTCAAGAAACATTTAGCATATTAGCGTACGAATACCTTTATATGTATTCGTTTCTCCGTAACAAAACGACTTTTCCATCACTTCTTCGCGTTTAATTACATTGAAATCACTGACATATCATGGATCATTCCATACCTACCATTAATCACGAAATATGATAGTTCACTTACAAAAGTTGTGATGCTACAGTTGTTTTCTTTTATGATTTTCAGCTTTTTTCGTAGTTTGCCGAATGAATCCAAATGGTCTCCGTTCTTTCACTTCATAAAGGTTGTACAGGTCCGATCGGATGGAGAACTTTGAGACAGAACGGGTTGGGCAACAAGATAATATATGAATAACAAATATTAGTTAATGAAAACACAGAATGAAATCCTGTTCTAAGGGCTGATGTGAAAAAGTCAGTCCACCCCAGTGGGAATCGACCCCACGACCCCTCGCTTACAACAAGATAATATATGAATAACGAATATAATTAATACAGCTTAATAAAAATTGGACCTTTGTCATAACTTTGAGAAAATTACCAATTTTGTTCAAATTCTCAAAAAGCTGACACTTTCAACTTTCAAATGGCGTATTGGAATAGCGGGATTTGTTTTTCATAAAGGGGCGCATGTTCAGGCTCAGATTTGCACAATATATTTCTATTACACTCTGGTATGTACGGTACCTCATTTTCCTTTGCATTTTGTTGTCTCAATATTGGCTTGAAATACCCGGGTGACTTGTCAAATGGTTCAACAAGCTTATCATGGTTTCCCTCGTCATACTCAATCGCCACGTGCTCATCGCTGTCTTTAGGAAGCTTCAGTTTCATCTTTTGTATGACCTTTTTCTCTGCCCAACTCTCCGGCGCCTTGCCTATGTTTTTTCCACCCGTGATCAAAGGTCTCATGGAGGTTTCAGTTCCGTTTTCCCATACAGTGCGAAGAGAGAGTTTGCTATCAAATGATTCGACCAGGCTTGATTTTCCTTCTAGCGATGCATCTTTCATTGGGTATTTTTCGGTAAATTTCTCAGTCTTTTTTTCATCGATTTCCCTCAGAATGTCACGATTGTAGTTAGACTGTGTCTTGAAACTTGGATCATCCTCTGTGTGGAAACGATCGGGGAGGGAATGATGTTTACGTTTTGGGTCTTCTTCCTTGGAATTCCGTCGATATCTGAAGTCAGGTTCTATCGTGTAAGGTAAAGAAGATCTCCGTTGTTTGGTCATTGAAAAGGGTAATGGTTTTTGTACCGCAGGATCAACTTTATCTTTTGCACACTCCTCAGTATTTGACTTTGTCCATGAATCAACCATTTTTTCTGAATGCATACTATCATATTTCTTGTTTGGGCCCGATAACATCTCGGACAACTCATCCAAAGGGATCTTTTTTTCAAATTCAGGATGAGATTTGTATGCATCACTAAACGTTTGATATTTGTTAATTGACAATGCAATTTTTGCAACACCTAGTGCTGTTGATGTCAAATCTTCAGCCACTTTTCTTATATTAGCCGCCTCTACCTGAGCCCTTCTGCACAATTCTTCTACCAAATGGGCTTTATCCGCAGCTTCATCCGCTTGTTCCCTCGCTTCCTTGACAGACAGGGCAAGGTTTAGCATATCTTCAAATATGTTTTCCTCGGGTGAAAGAGCCTGTTTGGCTTTTTCCTCGGAATCCATACTTGGACCCGGGAATTTGAAATCCAAATATTGCGGTACTAAATAGACTATTGCATATTACAAACTATTTTCAATTCCAAGCATTATTCGGTAGCCCGGAAACCTTGACAACTTAAATACTCAAATAGTTTGTGTTGTCATAAAAGAAAGCTCACGAAGACATAGATGTATTATTGTGACGTGTCAACTAAAAAGGACTGAAGTCGATTGGCATAAATCCTCATAATGCAAAAGGACGAGGTACACTCCTCTCCATAAGTTTGACAACCGTTGTAGATTTTTGAGTGATCAACATTTCAAACTGGAAATTTTGACAATACTTTTCCTTATATATAACTTCGCTAATATATTGTGTTAAGTCATGAAATGTTGGCATTATGTTCGTCTGATGTTCAGCCATCGCTATGTGGCGTTGGAATTGTATTGAACCTATAAGATTAATATCTAAGAGGTTCATTTTTATTATTTTTTGTGCTTTTTTATGCTGAAAGTACACGATCATAGCTTTGCGAGTTTTGCAAACATGAACATTAACATATTGAATTTATGATTGCCATATTGCTGTGTTTTATTTTCCATTATCACATTACATCTTGTATGCTTAACTGTGCCGTAAACATGCAAAATATGAATGTGTCGATATTTAGCATGGGATTGCGCTCGTGGTGCAAACCTAGTTTAAATAAGGTTTAAAGGATATTTAATGTAATAAAAATGATTCTAATATGAAGTCAACAAGTTCATCATCAATATCTAGTGGGATAACCGCGATTTTGGATAAGAGTATATATACAATACAATACATGCTTTCAGTCTGCTGATGCACTGCCCAAGGATATTAACCCATTTTCTTTGAACTGCCATTTCCAGGAGCGTTGTCCTGTTGAATGGATGGTAGAGGGTCATACTGCAAGATATCTTTACGTACCTCTCCCATGATGACTCCAGAGACCTTAACTAGCTCCCCAACACCATCATAACCGACGCACCCCCACACACGAGACCACCACGCCTTACAGTTTGTCTCGTGTTGAGTCCCTTTGTGTTATATTTTTCTCAGCGTTTGTTACCCTGCGCGCAGTCTTGTTATAAACGACGAAGCTCTCTTTTAAGAAGTGAAGTCGAACGAATGCAAAGGGTAAGCGTTTGTGCGCTTCACAGAAGCCCTGTCATCATTTTCTCCAACATTGTATCTAGTCTCGTCCGAAAAAATTACCTTTGACCATTGAGTATTAACATCCAAAAGCCGGACAACATTTGCGCATTCTAATCGTCGTTGTCGTATGAGGGGAGAATAAGGCTTCTGTTTGGCAACCATACAGACCTCTGTCATCATGTAATCATCATGGTAATCGTATGGTCATGTAACTCGAAATAATAAAAACATTGTATTGAGCATGTAGAACTTTAAAACAAAACCAGCAGTGGAGACAATAGTTCGTACTTTCTCCTGATAGTAGAGTAGCTTTCACTTATGTTAAAATCCATCTGCCAGAAAGTTTTCAGTCTTGGAACTGTTGTCTAGCCGGGTATGGTGTACAAAGGCGCGGTCTTTTCGAAACGTAGAAATGTAAGGCCTTCCAGAGCGGGGTCGGTCCCTGTTTGACCCTGTATTTCGGAAGCGTTTGATGGTTTTTGATATTTTGCCCTTGCAGCGGTTCAGTATTAGACCAATATATACTCCTCAAAAAAGTTAAGGACCAGTGGTTTTCCTCATAGGTTTACATGTTAACCCCCATATTTGTTTGAACGACTATTTTCTAAGTGTGGAACAAAAGAAATCCCAATAAAGAAAATAAATCTGTATCTTAATTCTATTCCCTATAAAGTCCGCAACATTTCAATGTTATATCTCCATTACATTGGGTCAAAATTTGATGTCTAAATTGATGAATTTCATGAAATTTAACAAAAATGGCAGATCCCATGTTAAACAAATGGGGAATGGTTCGGTTGCCATAAGTCATATGAGGAACGATCCATCCATCCGATTGCTTTCAAAATTAGAATTTTAAGAGACAATTGAATTTGTTATATTGTCCACTTGACAAAAATATGATTTGATTTCCAGGTTTTACAAAAGTTAATGGTTTCAAATTCAGTAATTCTTTTACGGATATTCTTATTGAAATAACACAGTTGGTCAGTGAGGGGGTCAAAATTACTCTATATCGCTAATTTTACCAATATAAGCTAGACATTTAGCATGTAAAATGTAAAACCATTCGATTTTCTACTCAGAAAATTCTTTCAATAAATGTTTCACTGAATAGATATCCCAAAATTTGAGTTGCCCCTAAGCCACCATTCCCCATTTGTTTAACATGGGATCTGCCATTTTTGATAAATTTCATGAAATTCATCAATGTCAACGCATATTTCATGAATCATATCATCAATTTTCGACCTATTCTAATTGAGGAAAAAATTTAGAAAACTTGGAGGTATTGGAAATAAAGTCAAATTACGTTTCCATCAATAGAACAAGTATTTTCATCGCAGGTTAAGTAAATAAAAATTCAAAAGTACAGAGGCTTTAACACGTACTTCAATGGGGGAGCTACTGTAAGGTTGCCAAACTTATGGAGGGGAGTGTATATTGTTAGTTACGTTTAGAGGAATACACTGTTTTTAAAAGTTTTCAATCCAATTAAACTTTGAGAAAAATATTAGTTATAGAATGAAAGTCCGATGAATTAAAACCATTTTGTGATAACATTCGAGGTAATATCCTCCAGATTCAGAGAGGTCTCTTCTCAGTTCAAACTTAGGGGTTGGGGTAATATATATTGCAATAAACTTGAAATTGTAAGATAATTATAACCCTGAATCTTTCTCAATGGCCCATTAATATGTTACACATCCTATACTTAGCTTATGCATACCAAAGGACGAGGGAAAGTATCCCAACAGATTTCATCTGCGTGAATTGTCATTAATCACGCAGATTGTTTTTTAATCGTTGTAAATTATTTTCTAAATTTCAGTGATTTATGGTTGGTGGAAAACAAGTTGTATGAGTGCAAAAACCATTGGAAATGTACTGAATTTCCATTTTGTCTATCATATATGTATACAAGTATAATTTGCGTTTTGTGCAAAATAAACGCCTGATTTCCAACGAATTTTTGCCCGAGGTTGAACATTTATGACTATGATAGGGCCAATATTCGAGCAATTAAAGCCTAAATTATCACTTTTCATGATGGCTGTTCTTTTGTCATTAATTCCCTTCTAGTTCTCAATTCACTTTTCTTGATTTTGATGAAATTGTCGAAATATCAAATAAGTGGCCTAAAATAATGAATTTACATGTTATCACATCACATCTTTTTGCAATGATCTAAGCTACTATAGCGACGAAAATTTGCGAAATTCGACAATAAAGTAAAATATAATAGCAACTTATATCAAAATGAAAGTGATATCCAAATGAAACTCATTAATCATGAGAATAAAAATATAAAAATACAAATTATAGATAGGGGACAGTAGGAATCGAGCCCATGATATTGAGGGCTCTAAGCGATCAACACACCATTGCACCAACGGGCCAATGATACATTGTGCAAAGATATTTTACATTTTGATATTTTCTCTAATAAAGGTCTATTACACAGTTGCTCATTTATATGGAATCAATATACTTTTTCAAGGAAGACAATTAAAACGTTAAAATATGGTAAATTTACGAAAGGTGAAAGAAGAAAAGGTTGAGTTCAAAATATCAGTTGTGGTTGGTGGAAAAACAAGTTGTTTGGCTCCAGGTTGAACAATAAGGACTATGATAGGGCCAATATTCGCGATCGATCAATTAAAGCCTAAATTGTCATTAATTACGCAGATTGGTTTTTAATCGTTGTAAATTCTTTTCTAAATTTCAGTGATTTATGGTTGGTGGAAAACAAGTTGTATTAGTGCAAAAACCATTGAAAATGTACTGAATTTCCATTTTGTTTATCATATATGTATACTAGTATAATTTGCGTTTTGTGCAAAATAAACGCCTGATTTCCAACGAATTTTTGCAAAATGAAACTCATTAATCATGAGAATAAAAATATAAAAATATAAATTTCGTGTAAAGTGTTATTTAGTATTCCCTGAACAGTTTCGAACCCATCGTCTCGGGAACCTAGTAAGTGCCTAAGACCTCTAGGCCATCTTGACCAAGCCCTTATTGTTAAAGAATCTATTCGATTTTTACTTTTCCTAATAATCCTGTACAAAAATCAAAAAGGTATACTATGCTAAAGGGCCTGCCATGAATTGAACTCAGGACAATAGCATTGCGAGCGAGTAAGTTGCCACAAAGCTATCTTGAAAAGACATATGAGACACAGAAATTTCTTGCATTTTGAAGTTTCATCGTAAAAATGTTACAAGAAAATAATTATAGATAGGGGACAGTAGGAATCGAACCCATGACATTGAGGGCTTCAACCGATCAACATACCATTGCACCAACAGGCCAATGATACATTGCTCAAAGATATTTTACATTTTGATATTTTCTCTAATAAAGGTCTATTACACACTTGCTCATTTATATGGAATCAATATACTTTTTCAAGGAAGACAATAAAATCGTTAAAATATGGTAAATTTACGAAAGGTGAAAGAGGAAAAAGTTGAGTTCAAAATATCAGTGGTGGTTGGTGGAAAACAAGTTGTTTGGCTCCAGGTTGAACATTAAGGACTATGATAGGGCCAATATTCGCGATCGAGCAATTAAAACCTAAATTTTCATTAATCACGCAGATTGGTTTTTAATCGTTGTAAATTCTTTTCTAAATTTCAGTGATTTATGGTTAATGGAAAACAAGGTGCATGAGGGCAAAACCAATGAAAATGTACTGAATTTCCATTTTGTTTATCATATATGTATACTAGTATAATTTGCGTTTTGTGCAAAATAAACGCCTGATTTCCAACGAATTTTTGCCCGAGGTTTAACATTTATGACTATGATAGGGCCAATATTCGAGCAATTAAAGCCTAAATTATCACTATTCATGACGGCTGTTCTTTTGTCATTAATTCCCTTCTAGTTCCCAATTCACTTTTCTTGACTTTGATGAAATTGTCGAAATACCAAATAAGTGGCCTAAAATAATGAATTTACATGTTATCACATCACATCTATTTTG